AAGGAGCTTATAGGTTAATTGGGAAGAGTGAATGAATAAAAAACATTGATTAAGCAATTACTAAGTACCAAGCTTATACAGCAAATGGTTAGAAAAGGAAACAAGTTAAATAAATATAGCTAGATATGCATATATAAATAAACATAGATAGATATGCATATATATGTACATACATGTGTATATACATTATATATAACACATATGCATTATATGTGCATACACATACACGTACATTATATATGTACATACATAGATATATACCTATGTGTGTGTGTGTGTAAGTATATATATATATATATATATATATATGTAGAGAGAGAGAGAGAGAGAGAGACAGACTAGAATAGAGTATATCTAAATACTTAGAAATGCAAAACCAAAGAGTTATCACTGTGGCCTAGGAACTTACTGATAGGGGGAAAAAGTGAGTTTTGAGCCTAGCCTTAAAAAAAATTGATAAGAGACAGAAGGTATTTCCAAGGTGAGTGGAATAGCATCCACAAAAGCATCATGGTTGTGGCAAACAAGACTGGGGACTAGTAGGGAAACTTTTTTTTTTTTTTTGCATTTTGGTGAGGCTATCAGGGTTAAGTGACTTGCCTAGGGTCACACAGCTAACAAGTGTCAAGTGTCTGAGGTCAGATTTGAACTCAGGTCCTCCTGACTCCAAGGCAAGAGCTCTATCCACTTCACCACCTAGCTGCCCAAGTAGGGAAGCTTTTGAGGACAACTACCTAGAAATTTTCCTATGTTCCTTTTCATATAAAGTTCACTATAGAATGGACCAATCTGAGGCTGACTGACTGAATAATGGATTAATGATAGCTTAGCTGATTTATTGGCTTTAGCCTTCTCACCTTTGTCCAAGGACAAGCCTGCATTTTTGTTTTCCTGGAACTCTATGTTGCAAAGAGATCCATTTGGTCATTGGCAATGCTGATTATAAAATTTGATAGCTTACGAACTAGGAAGGCTAGAACTAAGGGGAGATGAAGAAAAAGGTAATTCCCCCCCCCCCCCATATTACATATCATCAATTTGTTGTTGTTTTTCAGTTGTTTCAGTCATATCCAACTCTGTGATTCCATTTGGGGTTTTCTTGGCAAAGATGTTGGAGTGATTCGCCATTTCCTTCTCCAACTTATTTACAGATGAGGAATCTGAGGCAAACAGGACTAAGTGACTTGCCCACGGTTGTACAGCTAGTAAGTGTCTGAGGCCAGATTTGAACTCACAAAGATAAGTCTTCCTGACTCCAGGACCTGTCCTCTCTCCACTGTGCCACCTAGCTGCTCTGTATATGATCAATTAGAAAGTGTTTATTGAATAACTACTACGTATTCAGTTCTATGCTTGTAGTTATGTCTCAAGTTTGGGGGGAGGGAAAAAAGGAACTTTAAAAAAAATGCAGTACCTGTCCTCTAGGAGCTTACAATCTAGTTGACTACAGAAGATACAGACATGAGGTCAGCACAAAAAAAAATACAAGATAGTATGTTATCAAGTGCTAATTAAAGGTACAAGAGTAAGACATACTAGTTCCTTGCCAGTGCCTTTTATTTTTACATAATTTCCTTATGCCCTTTTGCCCTTCTGGGCTGACCCAGATGGTAGCTAATGGAGGGCTATCAGAAAAAGGACTAACTGTGTATAAAGCCATTCCTCTTGTACCTGGGATGTGGGCACCAATTGGCCTTAGGAGTCTTGAAGCTGTAATTCTTTTTAGTGAATGGAGTCTTCAAAGATCCTCAGCTGTATGAGCCAGACAAGTCCAGAGTTCCAGACCCTCAAGCATAGTTCTCAGGACCCTGGAGCCTCTGTCTTACTCTTCCGTTAGCCCAGGCATCTGAAACCATGAGGATCATCTCAAGGTTCTACAGCACTCACCAGACAGGTAAAGTCAAGCTCTTGTGTTAAGTCTGTGTCCTTTACTCACTTTACTGGGAGATAACACATACGTTATAAAGCACTGAATTTCCAGGTTGGCTTTCCCTCACTCATACTGTGGCTGTTGGCTGAAGAAGGAAGAAACAAATTGTAACCTGAGAAGCTTTATTTTTTTCTTTCACTGGGAATGAGTATCATATTATACTTTGTGATGTAAGTATTACATTTAAGTTTACTCTGTTATTATCTAATTTAATTAAACAGTTTGCTCAATTATAACTTTGTTTGGGGATGAGTACCTGAGACAGTACAATGGGTCTAGGAAGGGATGAGGTCAGTAGCTGGGGGTGGAGCCGAATACATGAGATAGCATGATTTACACATAGTCTTAGACATAGTGAGGGTAGCTAGGCACAGTGGATAGATTGTGGGGTCTGGAATAAGGAAGACTCATCTTTCTGAGTTCAAATCCATCATCAGATATGTACTAGCTGTGTGACCCTGGGAAAGTCATTTAACCCTGTTTGCCTCAATTTTCTCATCTGTAAAATGATCTAGAGAAGGAAATGGCAAACCAATCAAGTATCTTTGCCAAGAAAACCCTAAATGGGGTCATGAAGAGTCAGACACGACTGAAACAACTGAACTACAGTAGCAAAAAACAGACATACCAGTGAGGAGAGGGAGGCTGGGTGATTAACACATCTGCTCTAGGACTCTGAGCATTGATCAGATCCAGATATCAATACTATTGCTACACGAGGTAAATGTAAGTGAAATAGGATTTGGAGAAGCAAGAGAACAGTGTGGGAAAAAGTTGTCAAGGAAGGCTTTGTGAAGGAGAAGAGACTTGAAATGGGCCTTGAAAAATATGTAAAGGCAGAAAGGAGAATATTTCCTTGGCTGGGGAATCCCATGAACAAAGGTGTAGAAATGGAGCTGTGTAGGATGCCATCAAGACATTCTGCTACTGTGATTGGACACCTTAAGATACAAGGTTGGGCTTGGCTGGCATACCTGCCTAGCCCACCAGAACACACATCAGCAAAACACATTGTGTCCCAAGTCACATAGTTTCATGATCTTCTGTACAACTTCTTCATGGTTCTGACTCAGGCTTCTTGGCTCTCCATTCTTGCTGGTCTCACTTTGCTCAATCTTTGGATTCTACAGTTCTGCTTCTGTTGATTCCATTTGTACTTGGATTTTCCTTGTTTCTGCTTGGACAAGTCATATTGATTTTACCTCTAAGTCTTGTTTGCATTCTCCTCTCTGTTCCCATCATAATCATCCTAATTCAGTCCCTCATCTCTTTTCAACTAGACTATTACAAACCATATCCTGTGAGTAGTCTGAGCTGCCTGAATGGGGACCCAACTGGCCAGTTCCAGTAGGTCAATTCAGCTCATCCTCTCCTCTCCTGTACTCTCTTGTCCTCTCTTCTCTTGTGTTCTGCCCAAAGCAAGATAATTTGATGGCCAGAAGTTACCTAGTTAACTTGGGGTTTACTGGCTAGATTTCTTTCTCAAACACCAAACCTTAAATCCAATTCACTCTAGATCTCATGGATTGGACAATGGCTCCTTGCCCAAACACCACTTAATGGTTATATTTTTGGGCCCTCCTGGCTCAGAGTGAATGCAAATAGTAACTGTTTCTCTTTTGGCCAGCAATCCTGAGGGTCTTCCCCTCCCAGTTTGATTTTTTTCTTTTTCTTTTTTTTTTAATTAAAGGGGCCATCCATTGACTCACTCCTTAAAGAGGCCTATTCACTGAATGAGCTTTGCCTTGCTCAAAGTGAGCATTTGAAAAGACTTTAACTTGAAAGGGCCAAGGTCTCCCCCTGCATCCTGGGCCATCTCCAGTCATCCTGATGGATATCTGGCCACTGGACCCAGATGGCTCTGGAGGAGAAAATGAAGCTGGTGACTTTGCACAGCCCTCCATCACTCAAATCAAGGTCAATTGCAAGCCATGTCATCATCTCCCTGATGTCCTGGTCCTCTTCAAGAATGAAGGACAAACCACAACCACAACCTAGACTATTGTGATAGACTCCTATGTGATCTTCCTGGCTCCAGTCTATTCAATTTCTAATCCCATCCTTCACATCCCTGCTTATATAGTCCCCCTCAGGTATCACTCTGATCTTGTAATTCTACTTAAACAAACAAACATATTTCATTGGCTTCAGGTTGCCCGTAGAATAAAGTAGAACTCTGGAGCTTGTCATTCAAGGTCCTCTTTAATCTATCTCCAACTTATTTTCCCACCTTCAGCTCATCCTATTCCCCTTCAATACTCTGCGTTCTAGTCAAACTGGACTGTTCTTCATCCTGATTCTTGTCCTAACTTCTCCCGTCTTTATGCTTTTGCTCATGATGTTGTCACGCCTGCCACAGTGAAATGGGCTATCTCTCATCTTTGTCTCTTTCTTCAAGGTCAAACTCAGGTAATAACCCTTCTATAAAACCTCCTCTCACACTTTCCCCTGCTCTTCTCCCTCCAATCTATTCCCCTCCTTTGTACCAACTGTCAGGGATCTCTTGTTCCTCTAACTGGAGGGCTTGATGATGGAGCAATAAACTTGTCCCAAAGTGTTCCTTCATAGAGGGCTCAGAACTTTCAGAATTTTCCAAGTAACTTTTCATTTTCCATCAGTAGCTCAGCTTGGTTTGGGCTCCACAGAACATCGTGGCCCACATTAAGTGCCCCTGTTAGCCCTTGCCCCCTTTTCAACTTCTTTTTGTGTGTTAATTTTCCCCCACGAGATTGAGGGCACAAACTTTATTTGTATCCTCAGCACTTAGCTTACTATGTGCCTGGCACATAGTAAGCACTTATGTTATTGAATTGATTTGAGTTTCTCTGAACTTTGCCTGGACCTAACATTTATTTCACTTTCCCTTGTCTTGTTTCTGTTTTTGTACATCTTTTCTACGTGGATTTTAAGCTCCTTGTGAATAGAATTTGCATCATAGCTATCATTGTGTACCCAGCCTCTTGCACATAGCAATGTTTGTTACTTTGAGTTGCATTTATTATGGTGGTTTTTGTTCCTCTTTCCTCTCATTACTCAGCCTGACCTTCCATAGTTCATCTCAGTTTGCACTAGCAACTTGTACTGGCATCCTCAATCTTTAACTTGCTGTCTACCATGCTTCTGTCAAGATCCAACTGTGAGGGTAAGTGAGGAGATAAATCTGGTTGGAATGGAAAGAAAGTAGGGGAGATAGGCTTAGATAGGGAAAAGTGAGATGTTGGGGAACTTTAAAAGCCAGGCTGAGGATTTTGGATTGGATTTTATTGGTAGGGGTAAGTTTTTGATCTGTGAATATACTTTTATCAGTCAGTCAATACATATTTATTAAGTACCTACTATGTGCTAGGCACTCTGCTAAGCACTGAGGATACAAAAAGAAGCAAAAGACAATCCTTGCCCTCAAGGAGCTCATAGTCTAATGGGGGAGACAACAGCAAACAACTATGTACAAACAAGTTAAATACAGGATAAATTGGAAATAATCAAGAAAGGGAAGGCACTAGAATTAAGAAGGCTTGGGAAAGGCTTCCTGTAGAAAGTGGGGATTTTAGCTCAGAATTGAGGGAAACCAGGGATGCCAGGAGGTGGAGATGAGGAGGGAGAGTATTCCAGGCACTGACTGGGGTGGGTAGGTGACAGGGAAGACAGCCAATGAAAACATCTGGGATTGAGAGATGGAGGGTCTTGGTCCAGAAACAGCAAGGAAGCTAGGCTTATCAGTTGAAAAAAGGCCAATTGACAATCTTACCCTTCCTTTCCATTTTGAATGATGGATTTCTCAAGGACAGCCTCTTCATTTCTATATAGTTCTTTATGGTTTCTCATAAAATAGGAACTTGTGAAAGCTCGCTTCCTCCTACAACTCCACTCCTTTTGAAATCAAACTTCTTATTTGTCCTGAATGTACCCAAGAGGAACAAACTTCTCTGCCCTCTTGGCAGAAATGGATTTTTCATATTTGAGAGGTTGCCTGTAGGCAATTGCTTTTCTAAATGGAAATTTCAGGTACCTTTTAATTTTTCACATGTTAGAAGGTTTTTCCCCCTGAAAGTACTTTCCTGTTCTTTTTTTTTGCTAATAGGTCTCACACACTGAAGCCAAAGAGAGAACACTAATGGGTGAAAATAAAAATGTGGTGAAAGGTGATCCTTCTAACTCAGCAACAAGATTTGGATGTGGGAGAAGATACGTTTGATGGGCGTTCATACTGACACATGAAATTTGGGTGACCTTTTGCAACAATAATCAATTAACATGCATTTGTTGAGAACTGACTTTATGGTTAGCCCTTATCCTTAGGTATAGTAGGTAATACAAAGAAGTTTGAGATCCAGGCTCTGCCCTCAAGGAGCTTACAGCCTAGTTGGAGAGATAAGTCTTACTTTCCCCATGAAACATGACCAGAATAGCACAAAAGATAATTGCAGGTTATCATACGCCCAGCCTGACTCAGGCCCATCTGTTCACTCAGGTATGAGATTGGAATAGAATGAGATACTTGTAAAACATCTGGCAATTAGCAAAAGGAAGTTCATATGTAGTCATAGCAGGGGAAAGAGAGTCAGAGCAGAGAAAAGATAGTCATCAAGGAAAGCCATAGCCTTGATTCATTTGAGTGTGGCTCTCCTGCACAATGTTGGTCATGCTAGTCAGTTACCTGAGGAAGAAAACAGGTGACTCCTTGAGTCCTGAATTTTTGCACTTAGGCTTCCAGGAAGCCACCAGATCCACAGCTGAGTTTTTAGTCCCTTGAGCCAATTATGTCTCAAGTACAGTTGCAATATCTTTTAAGAAAAACTGTCCTAGCTTGCATGGGGCAGGGCCTTAGAATATCACTAATCCTAAGCAGAAGGGCCTTAGCAAATATTTCTCCTACCATATAGACATTGTACATTTTCCAAAAAGTATATTTTTAACTGAAGATTTAAATATTATCTAGCATTTATAGAGAGCATTAAGGTTTGCAAAGAATCTTACATTTGTTATCTCATTTAATTTTCACAACAATCATGTGAGGTAAGAGCTATTATCATCATCTTACAGATGAGAAAACTGAGACTCAGAGTGGTTGAGGTACTTACCCAGCATCAAACTACTAGTAAGGGTCTGGGGCAGGATTCAAATTTAGGTCCTCCCGATTCCAGGAATCCTGAGTCCTAGACTCTAATCATTTCTCTGCCTAGCTCTCTTAATAAGTCCATATTAAAAACACAGAAAAGGACATTAAAAATCGTAGCTATCTTCTGCCCTTCTGAGTCAGTGACCGATGGGCTGAGAGGGGTCAAGGCCTAGTGCAAACAAAGGCAGGAATATTCTTTTAGTCATCCCCTCTCCCTCACCCATTGGTCTTTTTATCCCCATTTTCTCAGATGCTGTGACATCTCTATAGCAATATGTTTGGGTAATGGAAATAGTCCTTGAATTGTATACTTTCCCAACCCACAAATGAATTTGGATGCTGGGACATGAAGTTAGGAGACTAACAGACAAAGGAAGCATTGTGGAAAGAATTAATAGAAGGCCTTAGATTATTTCTTCGACTCCAAGCTTGCTATTTTTTTGTTATTTGAGAGCAGTAAATGTCATGGGCTTGTTTTGGGACCTCTCACTCAAAGACGGGTTTTTTTTTGTTTTTGTTTTTGTTTTTTTTGCCTTCTAAAGGACTGAACTCAGGATGCTTCTGGAAAGCAGTTAGCTATTATTAGAGTTATTCAGGCTTGTTTTGTTTTCATTTTCTATTGCCATTTCATATCAGGTGTGGCATTTGATCCCCAGAATGTTTTTGTTCCACTGCAAGTCTAAATTCTGATTTTAAATAGGTGGCAGGTGAAGGGCAAAGGCAGGTGATCCATGGCTCCAGAGATCTTTGGAGATGGCCCTTGCTGGCAAACTTGGTTTCCCCCTGGAGTTCTTCTTCACAATACAGAGTTGAGAAAGAACTCAGTTATTGATCTAGAAACTGAAAGAGTTAGTCACTGCAACTGACGAAGGCTTTTACAGCTCATTAACCCCCAGATTATGTGGCACAATTCATTAAAATTCTCTTTCACTGAAGGCATTTTTAATAGGTTGGGAGAAGTTTATCACTTTTTTTTTACATACACAGTACTGAGCTTCCTTTCAATGAGCACATTGCTCCTCTGCTTTTTCCTGATAGAAAGATTCTCAAGTGACCATGAAATGTGGTTTAGTTTAAATGCAAAGTAAATAGATTATGGACTATGAATCAGAAATTTTTAATTTAGCCCATTGACTGCTATTTAATCATGTATTTGCTTAAAGATCTTGTTATTCAGTTTGGTAAAACTGTCCCCATTTTCCATTGCTGCTTTCTCTTGTAATTGCTATCATCGAATACAAGCATAAAGAAAAGTTAATATTTTTTTTAATACAGTTATAGACCTAGAAGAAACCTCAAGGATCATCTAGGGCAATAAGAAAGAGCATCCTGAAGAGCTGGAGAGATTTTTCCAAGGCCATACAACTGGTAGTAGACTTAGGACTGTCATTCATTCTTCCTGTCTCTTTCCAACCAGGTAATTTATCTTTTCCTTTTTTTTTCTCTATACACAAGGAACATTGTGAAGATAATGTCACCTAACCATTCTTTGTAGAGCAGGGGATCTGATGCATTCATTCATGAAACATTAAAGTGCTTACTTTGTGCAAGGCACTAAGGGAGTTACCAAGAACTTACATTTCTCTAATGAATTGAAAGTATTGGACTAGTAATTAGGAAATGTGGGTTCTAGTCTCAAGTCCATCATAGACTTCCTGTGTAATTTACTTAACCATTTTCTATTTCAGTTTACCAGTCTGTAAAATGGAGATAATAGTATTCATTTTACCTGTATCACAAGTTGTTGGGCGGATTGAATAAGATAAGGTATGTCAAGGCATTTTGCAAATCATCAAGGAAAATACAAATGTAAGAAATTGTTGTTATTATTGCAGATAATGATAAAAATCAAACCCATCATTTATTGTGTAACTATTGCATGTAAAGTCCTATGATGTATAAATGGAATATGTCAAATGTGGTCCCTGAACTTTGAAGGGTTTGCTCCCATGAAGGAGAGATAAGATACATATTTGCTGCAAATACAGAATTAAGCAATATCTTCCGAGGTCCTGCACCAACAACTGATTTTGGCAAAGAGTCCAGGACTTTTGAAAGACAAGTATTTGCAAATACTACCTGCTGGTTTAGTGGAAAAAGCACTGGACTTAGCATCTGGAGAGACCTGGGTTCAAATTCCACCTTTGATACTTATTAGCTTTGTTACATTGGGAAACACAATCTCTCTGGATTACTGTTAAAAAGGGTAACACAGGATATGTGGTTTGCCTTGATTCCCTTCCAAGCAAAAAAAAGAAATTTCAGGGATAAGAAGAGAGTCTTTTTGGTTATTTGTTTTTAAGTCTGATTAGGTATGTTTCTACCCATAGGATGTGACAGACGAGTATGCTTCCTATCTATCTCCATTGAGGAAGGAGCAAATAGACTTAAGGTCCAGTGGGAAGGAATTAAATTAGAAAGAAACAGCTCAGGACTATTAGGGTTAGAAAAATCTAGAAAGTATTCGACAATCAGAATGCCGTTGATATAATAGTACATATATTAAAGTTGGAATGATACAGAGAAGTTTAGCATTGCCTCATTCAAGGATTCTATTTAATTTCAAATATTTGCTGAGCACCTACTGGTACAAGACATTATCCTAGGTACTGGGAAAACAAAGATAAACAAACTGGTCTCTGCTCTTAAGGAGTTTACAATCCAACAAGGAGAATAAAGCATCTATCCAAATAATTCTAGAACAAATTAGACTATCACAGGTGTCAGGTGGAGATCCAAAGGAAAGGCTAAGAGAGATTTGGGTAATAAGAGATTACTTTTAGCTGTGGTGGTGGTGGTGGGTGAAGAGGATTAGGCAGTCTTGTGGAGGAGATGACACATGAGCTTTGAAAAAAAGGGCTAGATTTCAACAGGTGGAGGCAAGGATGAAAGAAGAAGGAGTCAGTTCTAGGGGGCAATGACATATGCAGTCATGGAGTCTGGAGAAGATAGGATAAGACCAGTGAACCATGAGTGGTCCAGGTTGGCTGGAACATGGAATCAGTGAAAGGGAGTAGCATGCAATAAGATTAGAAATATATGCTAGAGAAGGATTATGGAGGGCCTTGCATGTCAGTCTAAGGGTTTTGTGCTTTATTCATTAAGTAATCTTCATTAGCCCTGGAGGTTTTTGAGGAAAGAAGTGACATGATCATAGCAGTGCTAGATTTCTCTGATAAGAGTAGTGAAATTGATCAAGTTGAAACTGAAGCTAGGCAGATAATTTAGGAGGTTATTACTACAGTTCAAAGGATCTGAGATGAGAGTTTGAACTTTTAAATGGTGGCATTGGGAGTGGCAAGAAGGGGATAACTTAGAAAGGCACAGAATTTCACAAAGTGTTCCTCATTTTTATCTCTCCTTCCTCAGAACTCTGCATCATATGTATTCTGAATTTCTTTAAAAAATATATCATGCTCTATTTTGCATTTTATCTAGTAGTGTGTTGGTAAATGTTTAACAACTGGATCTCTGAAAAAAATGTACATGAAACACTTTTAAGTTCAATCCTCATTATTGACATTTTCTCAATCACTTTCTTAAGTCTAGATTATCAATGGAACAATAAATCATGCCCTGACTTACAGCTTTTGCCAATTTCTGAGGTATAAATGTTCCCATTGAAAATTTAATAATTGACTCTCATAAAGGATTTGAACTGGCTCTAGCATACTGCTCATTATCAATTAAACAAACAAATAAGCAACAAGCATGGATTAAGCACCTACTATATGCCATGCACTGCAGTTACAAAGGCAAAAATAAAATAATGCCTATTCTCAAGGAACTTAATTCTATTTGAGAAGATAACATATATGCATGTGTATATCTATCTGACATATTTATATTAAATGCAAAATAAATGCAAGGTATTTGGGATTGGGGAGGGCACTAGCAATTGGAGGGATAAGGAAAAGGACCTGTGGTAATTCAGTTGTGTCTTGGAGGAAGTGAGGGATTCTGTGAAATAGAGGTGAGGAAGAATGGCTAGTGCAAAGACATTGAAATGAGAGATGGAGTACCATGTGTGAGGGACTAAGAGATGGCCATATGGGTTAAACCATAGAGTATGGAAGGGAGAGTAATATCCAATGAATTTGTATACAGAGGTTGAGGCCAGGTTGTGAAAAACTCTAAAAGCCAAATAGAGGTGTTTATATTTTATTTTTAAAGCATTAAGGAATCACTGGAGTTAATTGAATGGGGAAATGAAATGGTCAGCTCTGCTCTTAAAGAAAATCACCATGGCAGCTCTGTAAAGGATGGATTGGAGTAGGGAGAGACTTGAGGCAGGAAGACTAGTTTGTAAGCTATGGCAATAGTCTAGGTGAGATGTGATTAGAGCCTAGACTAAGGTGGTAGCTGTATGAGTAGAGAGGTGGGGTCGGGTGTGAGATATACGAAGGCAGAAAAGGACAGATTCAGCAGCTAATTGGAAAGGAGTGATGAGGAAAAGTGAGTAATTAAGAATAACACCGGAGATTCTGAATTTGGGGGGACAGAAGAATTCTGTCACTCTGAGTAGGAAATGGGGAAGTTTGAAAGAGAGGCGAGTTTGAGAAGAAAGATAAAATGCTTTGTAAACTGTAGAATGTTATGCAAAGGTAAATTATTAATATTAATTCCTTCTATGCCAACATTCAGAGTGGTTTCATCCGTCCACTACATCTTCAATGCTGATTTATTTCTATACTCTATCAACAGGAGGCATCTTTTTACCATGCCCAGTTGCTGGTGGCATTACTTCTTGCTCACCTAAATTTTTCCATGTAAACTATTGGCTAGCTAAACAACAGAGGAGGATTGTCACAACTAGGTAGTCCATTGACCTAGAAGTTACGTATTACTTTTCTCATGAACCTGGAGCTGGAGGTTCTGCTTTGTCTGATGGAATTAACATCTTTACCTCTTGGATTCAAATTACAGAACGTTAATAGTATTGCTTTACCATCTCAGCCTTTTTGTCCCCTTCTGATTTTGACTTTAACCTTACAGTTGACCCTCATAATATTATGTGTAATCTCATTTAAGAACGATTGGCTGCTTGTAGCATGTTCCATCTTACCATTTTCCCTAAGCGTGACTGAAATTGGAAAATTGCTTATGCAGAAAGCAGGTTACATTTTTTCAGCTTCTTTGTATGTCAGTGAAGTTATAATTGCACTGTGTGATTGGATGTTATTTTTCCTTTAAAAAAAACAAACAAACTAACTTGCTTGTGTTAGGATTTATAGCCAAAGTCTGAGGCCAGGCACTACCTGTGGAGATAACGACAGAAAATGGCTTCTTTTCTTCCATATACAAGTACTATAGAATAAGGAGGGAGAGAGAAGCATATAAGAGTAAGAAAAAGCTGCATATGACACCTTGTTTTGTCCTTTACATCTGTGTGACCTTGGACAATTCATTTAGCTTTTCTGTTCCTCAAGTTCCTCATCTATATGATGGGACTAATGATGTTTGCTCTACTATATCACCCCATCCTCTTCTAAATGACTCTATTTTCTCTTTTTACCACTGACTCCCTCCTTCACCACTCCTAGAACCTACTTACTGCTACTACCCCCATCACTACTTCTAATTTCTGACACTATTACTCTAGCTATTTGCTGTCTCTGCTGCTGCTACTACTTCTAATCTCTGAGGCTCTGTTCCCTTTTCCTTCTTTATCTTCTATCTTGTCTTTCCTGCCTCTTGCTGCCTCTTGAGCATTTTAAATTTCATGGGAAAAGACTGGCTTTTTATAGACAGTGCCAACTAACCACAGTGTTCTTTTCCTTCTGGTTGTCAAAATCACCAATCCAAGCCTGTTGGGCATAACCTCCCAGTCTTTACTCTTCTCAGCTATTTTAATTGCTGCTCAAAAAGTTCTTTTTTCTTTTATTGATGCTTGTCTAAAGGTTTTTTCCCGCTCCTCTTACTTTCAGCATTGTCATCTCTCTGGATTGCTTGCTGAAGTCAGAAAGCAGGTTCTCTAAATGTTGAAGGTTTTGCCATGATTCTTTTGTATCCTTCAATACTATGTGCTCCCACATAGTGAATGCTCTATAAATACTTCTGTCTTGATGGATAGGCTGTTGACTGGTTCTATTTTCCCCCCAGGCCTGACAATATTCCCTATTTCCAAGTACAATCAACTCTCAATTGTTGACACTAGTATAGATTTAGAAAATCCCAAATGGCAAATTATCCTTGCCCATGCGAAGATTATAGCCCTAGAGTTGTGACAGGATACATGCTGGTGAAAAATACACACAATCACAGCCAATTAAAATGTACCATGTACCACACATGACTGATTACTGTTAATGTGGAGGATGGGACTGATGATGAGGTGGGAGACATCACCAACGGGAAACATTCCATGTGCTTGAAACTAATGACCCCTTTCATATTCCCATTTCTAAAGAGTTAAGGTTTGTTTCTTAGTATTCTTTAGAAATTAAATTCTTCACCAAGGATGTAGGGAAAGACCCTCAGGGACAGTGATTATATGATAATTAACTTTGTTGATAAATGGTAAATGGGTGCTTGGCTGTGTTTTGAGCTGCATTCTCTTGGTAGTCAGATCTCCTCCCAGGGAAAGTTCCCTGTTTTTTTATTTTTTGTTAATGCCATTCTGTACATCATAGCTCACTTTAAGAAGATTCTTGTCTCTTTTAAAACAGATTAAGTAAGCCAATATCATTATTACTAATTACCTGAAAAATTCTCCCATAGAGAACTAATGGATGCAGAACACAGACTAATATCTTCCTTCTTTTCTTTCCTTCTTCCTTTCTTCTTTTCTCTCTTTCTTTCTTTTCTGGGGAAGGGAACATGGCTAATGTGGAAACTTGTTTTAAATTTTTCACAGTAGATTATCTTTACAGTATTGCTATTACTGTGTACATTGTTCTACTTCTGCTCACTTTACTTATATCAGTTCATATAAGTCTTTCTAGGTTTTTCTGAAATCATTGCTTTCATAACCTTTTTTTTTTTAGCACAATAGTATTCAATCACATTCATATACCATAACTTGTTCAGCTAATCCCTAATTGATGGATATTCCCTTCTGTTTCTATTTTTTTGTGACCACAAAAATTTCTTGCACATTTGGCCTTTTTCATTTTCCTTTGATTTCTTGCAGTATAGACCTGGTAGTGGTATTTTTGGGCCAAAAGGTATGCACAATTCTATAGCCCTTGGGATGTAGATCCAAATTATTCTCCATACTGGTTAGATTAGTTCCCAGTTCTACCAATAGAGCATTAATGTACCTGTTTTCCTATATCATCTGCAGCATCTGTCATTTTCTTTTTCTGTCATATTAGCCAATCTGATAGGTATGAAGAGCTGCCTGAGACTTGGCTTAATGTGCAGTTCTTTAATTTTATGTGATTAAAACACTTTATATGACTATTGATAGCTTGGATTTTTTTTTCCTCAGAGAAGTGTCTGTTCATACCCTTTGACCATTTATCAATTTATTGATTATTCTTATTCTTAGAGATTTTATTTAGTTCCCAATATGTTTGAGAAATGAGACCTTTATATGCAAAGATTTCTTAGTTTCCTGCTTTTCTTCTAATTTTGGCTGCATTGGTTTTGTCTGCACAAAGCCTTTTTAATTTTGAAATCAAAATTATCCATTTTATCTCCACTGAAATTATTCATTTTATCTCCACTGAATGTCTCTCTATCTCTTGTTTTATGAATTCTTCCCTTATCCATAGGTCTGACAAGTAATTTATTTCTTACTCCACTAATTTGATTATGACATTACCCTTTATTTCTAAATTATGGACCCATTTGCAACTTATTTTGGTATACAGTATGAGGTATTGGTCTATACTTGTTTCTTCAGACTACTTTCTATTTTTCCTATCAGTTTTTGTCAACTACTGAGTTTTTGCCCTAATAGCTGGGATCTTTGGATTTATCGAACACCAAGTTATTGTGTTCATTTGCTTTTATATATCGTGTACCTAATCTTTTCCACTGATTAACTATTCTATTTATTATCCAGTATCAAGTTCTTTTGATGATTACAGTTTTGTAGTACAGTTGGAGATCTGATACTGCTAGGCCCTTTTCTTTTGTATTGTTTTCTTTGATATCCTTGGATATTCTGATGGCTTTCTCATCACCAATGTTGTCTTCCACTTACCTAAAAGCAAAAAAACCCCCAAACTTCATGGATGCACCCTCACAACAAACACTGGCATTTAATAGACTATGCCATTGTAAGGAGAAGAGAGAGACAGGATGTGAGAATGATGAAGGTGATGTGTGGCTTCAAGTGCTGGTCTGATCACAGACTTATCCTCCAAGCTAAACATTTGCACTGAACAAAAGAAGTGGCCCCAAGGCTTGGCCACTATTAGAAGACTCAATGTCAGTAGATTAGACGCTTCTCCATGTGTGAACAGTTTGTTACTGACTTGGAGGGAAAGTTGAAGCAACACATGGTTGGCAATAGTGGAGCAGAAAAAGTGGGCAGCTTTCAGAGATTTGGTGTACGTCACTGCATTTATTCATCTGGGCAAGAACACTTGCAAAATCAGGATTGGTTTGATGAAAATGACAGGGAAAATCAGAAGCTACTAATTGAAAAACAAGAGTTCTACAGGGTCTATCAACAAGATGCTTCATCTGTCTCTAAAAAGGCAATATTTAACTTCAAAAGTGCAAGCAAAGCTTAGAGAGATGCAGGATTTTTGGCCAAGTAAGAAGGTAGATGAAATTCTGTTTTATGCTGATAATAGCAATTAAATTGTTTTTACGATGCCCTGAAGGACATTTATGGGCCAAAGACCTTTGGTGCATCTCTGGTACTTGATGCTAATGGAGCCACTTTGATCAGCATATGATCCTAGAGAGATGGGCTGAACTCTTCCATAGTGTTGTCCACACATCATCATCAATTAGTGCTGAAACTATTGTCCATTTCCCTCAGGTTGAAGTCAATCCCTCTTTAGGCAAACTTCTAACTGAAGAAGAGGTTTTGAATGCCATTGGTCTTCTTTGTGTGGCAAAGCTCCTGGTGTTGATTCTATTCCAGCAGAGATCGACAAGACAGAAGGTCCACTGCTTATACAAACACTGATGGAAATCTGGGTTATTTGGTGAGAGAAGATTATTTCCCAGGAGATAAAGGATGTCTCTATTGTCCATCTATATAAAGAAAAGGTAAGTAGGTTGTCCTGTGACAACTAGTGAGGTCTCTCTCTTAGTCATTGCTGACAAGATTCTTGCCATAGTCCTCCTGATTTGGCTAATCTTTCCCCTGGAAGATAGTCATTTACTTGAGAGCTGGTGTGGCTTCAGAAAGAGCTGAGGAATGGTTGACATAGTGTTTGATTCTGGACAACTCTAGTAGAAATGTGAGGAGCAGAACATGTCTTTACACAACATTTGTCAATTTAAACAAGGCCTTTGATATTGTTGGTCATGAGAGCCCAGAAAAGTTCACTAGTATTGTATGTCAGTTTCATGATGCCATGCTGGCATAGGTTCTGGATAATGGATGATACTCTAATACTTTCCCAGTCACCAATGGAGTGAGGCAGGGTTTTATGCTTGCTCCTGTGCTTTCTAGCATGATGTTTTTAGTGATGTTGTCAGATACCTTTTACAAGGACAAAAACGGCATCAAAGTCAACTACTGCCCTGATGGCAAATTATTTAACTTGAAAAGGCTAAGACTAAACTGGAGAGAAAGTTGCTACACAACTTCTTGTTTGCAGGTGATTGTGCACTAAGTGCTGCCTCTGAGGCTGAGATGCAACAGAGTATGGATTGATTCTCTGCTGCTTGTGTTAATTTTGGCCTGATAATCAACACCAAGAAAACAGAGGTTCTCTACCAATCAGCACCACATTACTCATACATGGAACCATCAGTTACAGCAAATGGAGAAAGTTTGAATGCTGTGGATAAGTCCACTAACCTTGGCAGTATACTTTCCAGGAATGTGCATGTAGATGATGAGGTTGACACCTGCATTGCTGGAACTAGGCCAGCATTTGGGAGGTTCTGAAACAATGTGTGGGAGAGAAGAGGTATTAGGCTGCTTACAAAAGTGAAGTTCTGTAGCACCATTGTGCTAACCTCATTGTTGTATACCTGTGAAAACTGGACAGTCTACCAGAGCCATGCCAGAAAATTGAGCTGCTTCCATTTAAATTGTCTTAGGAAGATTCTGAACATCACCTGGAAAGATAAGGTAACAGACACTGAGGTTATCTCTTGAGCTGAACTGCCAAGCATTTAAACTCTACTGCAGAGAGCACAACTCTGATGGGCTGGCCACGTTGTTCAAATGCCAAATGTACATTTGTCTAAAAGATTATTTTATGAAGAACTCACACAAGGCAGGTCGCTTACATGGTGGTCAGAAGAAGCAATACAAAGGATACTCTCAAAGTTTCTCTGAAGAACTTTGGTATTGATTCTGAGACATGGGAGACACTGACACAAGATCATCCAGCATAGCATGCCTGCATCAAAAAAGGCACTGTGCTCTGTGAGCAAAGCATAATTGTGGTAGCTTAGAAGCAGCGTGAGATGTACAATTTTAGAGACATTTCCCTCCCAAATATTCATGTGGACTATTAGGGCCTGACCTATGTTACAGCCTTCCAAGCTCATATTGTTATGATCAGCCACAGTCAGACACAATGTACATTCACCTTGACATTATGATAAGATTTTGATTCTTTTTGAGCATGAAGGAGAAACAATAAAAACAGTTTATCCCATTACAGATAATGCTTGCTGATGGTTTTAGATAGATTCTACTTATCATTTTAAGAAAAGTTCAGTTTATTCTTATGCTTTCTACTGTTCTTTTTTTTTTTAACAGGAATGGGTGTTATACATTGTCAAAAGCTTTTTCTGCAACTGTTGAAAAGATCATATGATTTTTGTTGTTTTTGTTATTGATGTGGTCAATTATGCTTTTAGTTTTCCTAATATTGAAGCAGTCTTCCATTCCTGGTATAAGTATATCCTGGTGATAGTGTAATTATCTTTGTGATGTATTGTAATGTCTTTGTTAGTATTTTATTTAAAGTTTTTGTGTCAATATTCATTAGGGAAATTGATCTACAGTTTTCTTTCTCTATTTCTGCTCTCCCTGGTTTAGGTAACAAAACCATATTTGTGTCATAGAAGGAATTTGGTAGGACACATTTTTACTTATTTTTTCAAATAGTTTATATAGTTTTGGAATTAATTGTTCTTTAAACGCTTAGTAGAATTCACTTGTAAATCCATCTGGTCCTATGTCATTTTTTAAATTATGGAGCTAACTTATGGCTTATTCAATCTCTTTTTCTGAGATAGGGTTATTGAAGAATTCTACTTTTTGTTCTATTAATCTGGGCAATTTAAATTTTTGTAAATGTTCATTTATTTCTTTTAGATCATTGGTTTCATTGCAATATAATTGGGCAAACTAGATCCTAATAATTTCTGTAATTTCATCTTCATTGGTTGTACATTTACCCTTTTCAGTTTTTAGACTAGTAAGGTTTTCATCTCTTTTTTTAAAATCAAATTAGCCAATTGTTTATCTATTTTGTTGTCTTTCTTCACAAAACCAGCTCCTAGCTTTTTTTAAAGTTCTTTTTTTTTAACTTTCAGTTTTATTAATTTCTTCTTAGATTTTTATTTTGGTGTTTATTTGGGGATATTTAATTTGCTATTTTTCTAATTTATTTATTTATTTATTTTTAGTTATATGACCAATTCATTGATATGTTTTTCTTTTATCAATGTAAGCATTTAGAGATAGAAAATTTCCCCTAAGTACTGTTTTGACTGTATCCCACAAAATTAATCATTATTGTCAATGGATTTATTGATCATTTCTATTATTTGTTCTTTGATCCACTCATTCTTTAAGATTAGATTAGTTTCCTATTAACTTAAAAGACCTTTTACTGAAAGTAATTTTTTTATTGCATTATTGTCTGAAAAGGGTATATAAAATATTTTTGCTTTTCTGCATTCATTTGTGAGGTTTTATGCCCTGATATATGATCAGTTTTTGTGTATGTGCCAAGCATAAATGGAAAAAAGGTATACTCCTTTCTATTCCCATTCAATGTTCTTCAGAAGTCAATCATATCTAACTTTTCTAAAATTCTATTCTTCTTAGCTTCTTACTTATTTTATGATTAGATTTATCTCAGTCTGAGAGGGGTAAATTGAGGTTTCCTACTAGTGCAGTTTTACTGTCTATTTTTTTTACTGTATACTATTTTACTGTCTATTATTTTTGTGTGTGTGTGTGTGAGGCAATTGGGGTTAAGTGACTTGCCCAGGGTCACACAGCTAGTAAGTGTCAAGTGTCTAAGGTCAGATTTGAGCTCAGGTCCTCTTGACTCCAGGGCCAGTACTCTACTCACTGCATCACCTAGCTGCTCTTTACTGTTTATTTCCTCCTGTAACTCATTTAAATTTTCCTTCAAGGATATATAATATATCCTTTGGATGCTTTGCCATTTGGTGAATATATGTTCAGTATTGATATTAATTCATTGTGCATGGTACCTTTTAACAAAATGTAGTTTTTCCTGGTTATCTTTTTTAACCAGGTCTGTTTTTGCTTTGTCTGAGATTATGATTGCTATACTTTTTTACTTCAGCTGAACAACAGTGGATTCTCTTCCAGCCCTGTATTTTAACTCTCTGTGTGTTTCTATTTCAAGTGTGTTTTTTGTAAGCAACATATTTTTGGATTCTGGTTTCTAATGCATTCTGCTATTGTCTTTCATTTTATGGATGAATTCATCTCATTCATATTCACAGTTAGAATTGTTAACAGGGACAGGTAGGTGGCGCAGTGGATAGAGCACCGGCCTTGAAGTCAGGAGGACCTGAGTTCAAATCTGGTCTCAGACATAAAAAAGAAAAAGAATTGTTAGCTGTGTATTATCTCCAAATTATTCTCTTAAAGTTATCTATCAGAGAGACAGATAAGTCTCTTACCTATCCTTTACTCAAGAGTTCATTTTGCTTCTGACCACTGCCTCCTTCAATTTACTTCACTCTTATTCATAGCCCCTTTTCCTCCTATTTCTCTTTTGGGTAAGATGAATTTCTGTGCCTAACTGCATGTGTGTATATTCTTCTCTTCTTGCACCAGTACAGATGAGAGTGAGGTTCAAATATTGCCCCCTGAATCCCACTTTCCTCTTTATTGTACAAACTCTTCTTTATGTACCCCATTTACATGAGATAATTTCCCCTATTTTTCTTCTCCTTTCTCCCTATACCTTTTTGCCTTTCTTAGTACATTCTTCTTTCTTATCCTTCCATTCTTCTTTTGATATCATCTAAATAATAGAATCATACCCATGCCCTCTGTCCAAGTAGACTCCATCTAATTGCGTAGTGATGATAATGTTCTGAGGAGTTACCTGTATCATCTTCCACATATGAATTTAAATAGTTTAATCTTGTTTAGTCTCTTATGATTTCTCACTTATGTTTACCTTTTTATAGTTCTTTGGGCCTTGTGTTTGAATGTCACATTTTGTATTCATTCAGCTCTAGTCTTTTCATCAGCAATGCTTGAAAGTCCTTTACTTAATTAAATATTCACTTTCTCCTCTGTAGGATTATACTCAGGTTTGCTGGGTAGATTATTCTTGAATGTAACCTTAGCTCCTTTGCCTTCCAGAATATCATATTTTAAGCCCTTCACTCCTTTAATGTGTTAGCTGTTAAATCTTATGTGATCTTGACTGTGACTTAATGGCATTTGAATTCTTTCTTTTTAGCTGTTTGTAGTATTTCTCCTTGACCTGGGAGTTCTGAATTTTGGCTATAATATTCCTGGAAGTTTTCATTTTGGAATTTCTTTCAGAAGGTGACTAATGTATTCTTTTAATTTCTTCATTTGTGCTCTGATATCTAGGTGGTTTTCCTTTATATATCTGGGTAGTTTTCCTTTACAATTTCTTGAAATATGATGTCTAGGTTCTTTTTTGATTATGGCTTTCAGGTAGTTCAGTGATTCTTAAATTATCTTTCCTTGATATGTTTTTCCAGTCAATAGTTTTTCCTATGAGATATTTTACATTTTCTTCTATTTTTTCAATCTTTTTTGGTTTTGCTTTGTTGTTTCTTGATTTTTAATGAAGTCATTAGTTTCTACTTGGTTAATTCTAATTTTTAAG